TATATATATATATATATACTCCGTGCCGAAAACAAGACCGTTCAGAGTGGGATTTGAACTGCGAATTTCACTTGTAGAGGTGCACCCATAAAAATTGCACCATAATAGTCTTTGAACATGAATTCACGCATATATATTTAAGTAATTTTGAAGAAATATAACATTATTATACATGATTTAGGGAGAGGAGTATGGTTCACGTGAACCCATATCCCTCAACTTGGATAAGCCTCTGGTCTTCTATATGGTTTATGTGACAGTCATATCTTGAATTGCTTCTTATTTGGCCACAGATTTGCATCCGTTATCAGCATCTTATCCGGCCATATAAGTTTGTATCCGATGTGAGCATGGTTGAATCACTGCTGATTGGTCATTATATTCTTGACACGTGTTGCTTCCTAATTCACTCATCTTTTGAGACCGGTTTTCATCGTATACATATTACCTTCTCACTAGTAATAGCTCGTAAATCACACAGAAAATATAAATTGCACTAAACAAGTTCGATGGGACGAACTCTTACCGAGGAAAGCTACGTAATCAATTTCAGCTTATCAGATACAATATCTTAAATATTACCGATGTATAAAAGTACTTTATGTGTTTATATATAAAAAAGATAAACTTTGAATAACGATATGTTATAATGATAGGGTGACAAATCATACGACACCACGATAACAAATATAAAAATAAAAAAGGCACAAACAACACAGTACTAGGAATAACGACATGACATCACTTTTTGATCACACAAAATATAAAAAAAAAGGTTGTTTCTTATCTTCTTAGTATTAAATCAATCTAAGTCATATAAATGACTCATCAAAATGCCACATTTCCAAACAAAAATATGGACAGGTGGCACATACACACATAGTTCCCCTATTCTTGCCACCTTCTTTGGCTCCTTTCTGCCTCTTTTACTCTCATTGTTCCCATCAAATTCTCATCTTTGTATTTATCCTCTTTGAAATCATATGAAATTTGCTCTATCTTATTTTTGGAGTACTTAAATTTTGCTCTTTGAGGTTTGAAAATTTAGTTGAAAATACACACTGAAATTTTACTAAGTGTGTATTTTGTTTCTCTTTGCATGCATTTATGCTTTCTTATTCATTTTTTATATTATGATGTTCCTTTAAGTTCCTTTTTCCTTCCCTTCCATTTATTGTGCGCATGATTCAAACTTTACATGTATTTTGTGTTCTTGAGTAGTAGAAGCAAATAGGCCAGGCCTCGAGTCGTAGAAGCAACTACTAATCGAGCAGTAGAAGCAACTACTAATCGAGCAGTAGAAGCAACTACTAATCGAGCCGTAGAAGCAACTACTAATCGAGCCGTAGAAGCAACTATTAATACTGAGTTTGAGTCGTAGAAGTAATTACTAATACTTGGGTTCGAGTCGTAGAAGCAACTACTAATAATTGCATTTGGGTAGGCTGGCTACATCGCACTCCTAGGTTGCGGTTCTTCACGGACCCTGTGTTAATGCAGGATGTTTTGTATATCAGACTACCTTTTTAGTGGTAGAAACAATGGAAAAACATATTTTGTGGAATTTTAAGGTTGTTTTCTTGTTGTTTTCTGCATAGTGTATTTGTTTGGAGAAGTGTCATTGAGAGAGTTCAGAAAATCTTGAAAACTTGTGCAAATAATTGAGAAGAAGAAAGGGAAGATTATATTTTACATATTCTTGTCGTATAATAGTATTTAATAATCTAAGGGAAATGATTTTTTTAACCTCTTCTTTTTGTATATGGTTAATTATGCATTAGTTTTGGTTGTGTTTTTGAAATTCTCTTTAAGTTGATAACTGTTAAAATATGTTTATAGATATTTCATAATATTTTTTTCCTTCTAATTTAGAATTTTAGAATCTACACTAATGGTAGAAATATTTATTTTCCTTTTAGTTTAGGAATATTTTATAAGATATTTACTTTCTTTCTAAGTTTAGGATCTACATTAATGATATATTTTACTTAATTTATGCCTTTAGTTACCTATAGATATTGATGTACTCAACCAATAAATGCAATGAGTTATTATTCATTTTCTGACTTATTGGCATGCCAATTTATATTGATAGTTTTGTTTTTTCAATAGCATTCCTCACAATGTTAATTTCATCTCTATATTAAATTAAAGTATATATGTGGAATTTTGATGTATTTTATGTCCATGTTTTCCAGGACTGCTCTTGAATGCTTATGCAAAATTGCTACCAAACATATGGGATTACTCTTTGCTTAACCGAGTCATCGTCACAGGCGGATCCAATTAAACTTTACCGATTCAAACTTTAAGATTTTTAGCATTGAACCTATTATATTTTTATAATTGTGGGTTCAAACTTACTATTTGTAGTGAATATTTACACATAAATTTATATATCGCATTGAAAATACGTTCAGATGCACCCGCTGCTGCAAGGCTGCATCCGCCTCTGGTCATAGTACCATCTTTAGGAAAAATTTAATGATAGTGCGTCTTCTGAAGGAAATTCCTTGATTATGGGGAGCGTTTGTTCATGTAAAGGAGACCATTATGCCGATGAGAACATAACTAGAAGAGGCTTCTCTAGTAGATACTTCAAATTTGGGAGCTCGAAATGGCTAGAGCCTTCTCTTTTTGTTCCTGCTGGCTGTTGTCAATTTCGACGAAGCGGTTGTCCGTCCCTCATGGAATTGTGCATTCATAAAATATGTGAGGTGATTAACTCATTCTCTCTGTTAGGGATTTTATGGTTGAGGACTTGTGTTTTTGTTGAGGAAATCTTATGCTCTCTGTATTTACAGGACATTGACAAATACCATTCATTTTCCATGCTACCGAGCGATGTAAGCCAGTTGATTTTTAACCATCTGGTGGACTCATGTAGTCTTTCCGATAACTGTATTGAGGCTTTCAGAGATTGCGCTCTGCATGTAAAGTCCCAGCTTGTACTGAAAGCTTGAAATGTTAAATTGTTGTTTTAGTCTAGGATCGTTTAATGCTTATTTTCGTTCGATGGTTTCTTTTTGTTGACAGGATATGTGCATGGAAGAATGTACACGAGTAAAAGATAATTGGATGGATGTCATCTCTTCACAAGGATCATCTTTACTGTCCGCATATATCTCTAGTACTGAGGTTACAGATTTTGGTTTAAGCCGCTTAAGGAATTGCTCAAACCTCCAAGCTTTAGGTTTGGATTGCTGCGACAAAATTTCTGACGGTGGCATAACGCACATCAGTGGTAGTTATTCCTACTCTTTGATGATATATCACATGTTTATCTATATTGCTCTCATATTAGGATTGTCTCGTCTGAAGGGAATGAAATGTTTTTATTCCTTCTGTATCTAGTATTGTTGTGTTTGTGTCTGTTATAGCTTGCCAATGTCTGCAAGAATGTGGAAAGATCTATCATTGAATTTGCTATTTTCTTTAAAGTGTGTTTTGTCTTTGGCATCGAATCGTTACTTATTAAGTGCTGCTTCTAGCAATTGGATTCCAATTATTCTAATTTTTGGGAAAATTTTTGATTTACATTTTTGGGATACCAACTCTCTGTGGACTTCTCTATTCTTTAGATAGAACAAAGGCAACTAAACGAATATGAAAAATCCATCTGAAGTGAACTTCAAGTGATGCTTCAGCACTATGGTAATCTGCTACTAGAGATTCGATACTCATCTACCTGCATTATATCCTGCTTAATATACTGTTTTTAAGAAAATAGTTCATATGGAATGCGTAACATATTTGATAGAATATCTCTATCCTCCCCCACTTTGGTGCTAGATTTTTTGGTGATCACGATCCATTATACTTTTGCTTTCAGGTTTTTCAAATTTGAAATATTTGGGTTTTAGAAAATGCGTTGGGCTTACAGCTGAAGCAATGAAAAGTTTATCCGGCTTAGTGAAACTGATGAAGTTGGATTTTGAGCGATGTCCTCTAATTCATGGGGGTTTTATTCATCTTGAAGGTTTGTTATTTTCCAAAATTTCCATGTCGAGGAAACATTATGTCGGTCTTTAATGTTCTGCCACTCTTATCTTTTCCAGTCATATAAGAATACACAACATATGTCCCTCTTTTCCTCGGTTATGTGCTTCCTTTTATGCGTTTAACTCCAACCTGTTGATACACTTATTTAGTTCTACTTGCGATGCAAAGGACCGAATCTACGACACAGAAATTCTTGAGTCGAATGTTAGGGGTTTATCAGGAGAATACCAGTAAATATTCCATGCTGTTCTAAAGAACTAGAATTAACAACGTAAAAGAAAAGACAAAAGGAGGGGCGGGGTGAGAGTGAAAGAATTGCATAGGAAAACATTGACCTTCTGCTTATTGGAACTGCACGTTGAGCAAGAATGCAATCAAACTTACCTTTTCTTATCAAGTTTTGTTACACATATTTATTGCATTCTTCTATTTGAGTAGTTACGTATTTGTCGCATCATCTACTCTTATGGTCCTGTTTTTCTGGGTGAATCAGCTTTAATTTCACACCTTGAAGATATGGCAATGAAAGTATTGATATTTATCGTTTTCGAACGTACCATCAGAAACTTGGATAATCTGATAGAGTTACTAAAACACTTATCCCTTGTTGTATATCACAAAATTTACTTTTCCTTAAAATGTAGTTCAAACATGCTGAGAGGTAAAAAGTAATTCAAATTAAAGTAGCGAGAATAATCATGAGCAGAAGTAAATTGTTTAAAACCAGAGGTAGTAGATTTTTCTTCTTAAAAGGAGGTGTTGGTGGAAGAGAAAATCTATCGCTGGTCATGTAAGAGGATTAGTGAACCTATTTAAAGAACATATTATTTATAATTTAATTTTCTAGCTGTTTTTTCACCATTTATGCTTTTAATTGGTCTTCACCGTGTCAAGATGGTTGCGTCTTTTAACTTTCAGGTTTAAAAAATCTTGAATCTCTCAGTATAAGAGGATGCAAGTGTATCACAGATTCAGACTTGAAGTCTCTTGCAGGTATTCTTGATGAATGTGCTTTAAAATCTTCATAAATGTCACCGAGCTTGTTCCGTAGAGTTTGCTACTTAACTCTTTGCCTGTTTTCACGTAATGTACTTCAGGGCTTGTGAGTTTGAAGGAACTTCAGATTTCATGTGACAACATTACAAATGTTGGAGTGTCTTATTTGAGAGGTATCACTTACATTTGTGTTGTTATAAGCTTTTGCAATGTCCTATGATGGTGGTATTAATTGGTCATATAAGAGCTGTCTCGGTGCTTGGTTTAGGTGTTCTCGCCTTACTTTTTAAAGCTCCCATCTTTTGGGATTCTCTTGTCCAGAAAACACATGATGCTTTTCTTATATTATCCATGAAAACCACAGCCTCAAGTTTACTTCACTTTTGTATTACACAGTTTGATTTTTTAAAATTGATGTACTAATTTTATTCAAATTTGGCCGGATCCCTTTGCATGTTTGTCGAAGTAAATCTGTCTCTTTTCTTTTTTAAGGTTGGGGAAGAGGGGATGGTTTAGTGTTATAAGCATAAATGGCAACCTTAAGGAGATCTAGGCACCTCGATATAGCACGTTTATTCCTCATCACCACATAATTGGTTTGGATAAATTGTAGATTTGCATTGTGCCATTATTGTGGTCTTCTTTTAGGTAATGAATACCGAAACTGTGAAAGGAGTCTGGCTTTGCAATCCCTTTCATGGATTTTCCACCTAGTTCTTTGGCTGCTTTTCGTGAAGTCTTCTTTTTTCCCCTATGATTAAGATCTAATCTGGTTTTGATAATATTACGTTCCTACTGGTTTTACAGATTTGGACAAACTCGTCGTGCTAAATTTGGAAGGGTCTGATGTTACTGCTCTATGTTTGGATTACCTGACAGGTCTGTTTTCATTGTCCTTGTTCCCGTGTTCACTTATTAAGCCTAGTTTATTGGTGAAGTAAATAGGTAGGATAATGAATCGAGCGGATTGGAAATTTTCTCAGAAAACTTATTGGAGATAAAGTTAACAAGTCGGATAGTGGAAAAACAAGCTTGAATGAGCAAAACATATACTAGTGTTATCTTCTATTAAGACAGATACGAGAGTGATAATCACATTAAGATGCTTAGTAGAGATGGAAGAGAAAAAAGAAGGGGATTAGCCTAGTGCTTATATAAGATTTAAAAGCTGTTTATTAAAATGTATGATCCGGATCTGCAGCTGTATTCCTTCTTATAGGAGAACATTGTGAAAGTCTATGGTTGGGACAAAACAGAACCTGACCAGAATATTTAATGTGTGCCTATAATCGACTCCTAAACAGGTAGTTGTTTTACTTCGTCCAAGGGATTGCTACAGTTATTGGTGACTCAGTACCACACTCAGCTGAAACTAAGCTCTTGGATATCATCGGCAGAACAAATAGAGTAATTTGTTGCATATCCAATAAAAAGGTGGAGAGCTTAGCCTATTACCTTACACAAAGTAATTTGATGACCCTAGGTACCTGTAGACATATAGGCACGGAACAGCAATTTTCTGCCGAAACTGGAAAATCTCAGAAAAGATGGACTAAAAAAAGGGCAACTAGGTGTACTAAGCTCCCGCTATGGGCATGGTTCGGGAAAGGGCCGGACCATAAGGGTTTATTGTTTGCAGCCTTACCCTGCATTTCTGCAAGAGATTGTTTCCCCAGCTCGAACCCGTGACCTCTTGGTCACATGGCAGCAACTTTATCAGAAACGATGGACTAACTTTGTATGTTTAACGTCTAATCGAACTTCAAATCAAAGAATTCCCCAGCCAATGATTTTATAAGATAACATTCTTTAGCTCTCCATTTAGACCTTTTATTTTAGGTTTTGCTCAAATCCCTTAGTCCAAATTTTTTGGTAAGTACCAATTCCCTGTGATTAACGACGGCGATATTTGGTTGTAAGATTGTTTAATTCAAGAGAATTTTCCTGTATGTAGATTGGTCATTGATTGCATCCATAGAAGTTTCTGCCATACCATTAAGTATGGTCTATAAATACTTTGTCAGGGTGATAATTATAGTATTCATTTTTGGAATCTTTTCATGTTATTTTAGTTTCTGATAGTTCCTTGTATCATAATGCAGCTCTCACTTCACTGCAATCGCTAAATCTCAATAGATGCCATCTAACAGATGTTGGATGCGAGAAGTTTTCCGGTGAGTGGAAGAAATTTGTTATTTGCCATATAGAACTAACGAAATCAAAACCATTCCACATCCTTTAGCCAATTGTTTTACATCTGCAGCGCTCAGCAATTTGAAAGAGTTGAATATGGGATTTAACAATATCACAGATGCATGTTTGGAACATTTAAAAGGTCAGTAATCTCTTCTTTGGTTCCCTTCTTTTGACGGTACATGGCATTTCAGCTTTTGCTCTCTGATTGTTTTAGTCTCTCCCTCTTTGCTTTCATGCTCTAGTGTACATTAAACTCTGAAAGCTTTCAGTTTACTGCATAAGTTTTCTCACCAAGAGTCTTTTTTTTCCTTTGAAATATAAAGCATCACCTTCTTGGCAGTCAGCAAAATGGAAAAGATAGTCGCTAATATGCTTCGGCTAGATGTTGGCATGCAACAGTTATATGCCTACCATTTAGTGAATATCTATCTCGCGGAAAGTTTTGCTGTTATCAACCTGATCATGTTGAGTGTTGACACTTCCGTATAGGATCAAAACTTAATTTACGTGGGAATAATATGACCATCCTCTCTACCTAATGTTCTCATGCTGGAATTTTATTTTTTTCGGCTTAAACGAACTGCTGGTATATTTAGAGTGTATATTTGCCTCATGGAATGCTTGCATTGTTTGGTGTTTTGAGATGCTTTCAGAATAGGGAGAATTGATGTTCTTTTACCTGACCCCTCAGAGTGAAAATTTTGAGATTTTGGTTCAGGTGGTTCGTTACTTCTCTCCGTTTAATAATTTCTGGTTATTTATTTCATTTAGTGTTTACCTACATTGCAGGGCTGACAAAATTGGAAGGCCTCTACTTGGATTCTTGTAGGATTAGCAATGACGGTCTTGCTCATTTAGCTGGTATATGTAACCATAGTTTATTTCCCCTCCCGTCTTGTCTTTGCAGCATTATGCTGTAGTGTCGCCCATTTCCTTTTCTGTTACGTTCCTCGACCCGGAGAGAAGAGAATGCTCTTTATCTTATAGGTGTAAGCCTCTGTCTTTTTCAGGACTCGCAAACTTGAAAGCTTTGGAGCTGTCTGATACTGAAGTTGGAAGCGATGGAATTCTTCAACTCTCTGGTCGGACTGTTTATCTCTACTTAGAAACAACTTTTCTACTATATTATAGAGCTTTTGGCACCACATTAGCTAATGGCTTTTGATATACACCACTTCACCTTTTTGACTTGAAAAAAAAATGCAGCCTTTAATTTGAATATTACTACAAATTATGATGCACTGATTTGAGTGATTCATATGTTTTAGGATTGACAAAGTTGGAAGATCTCAACCTCTCGTTCACATCAGTAACTGACAACAGTTTGAAAACGTTATCTGGATTGACATCTCTTAGGTCGCTTAACCTTGATACTCGTCAGATTACTGACTCGGGCCTTGCAGTTCTCACCAGTAAGCCTTAAAATTTCTAGTTGCTTTATCTGAACCGCGGTTTCCAGAAATCTACTCACGCTGATATTATCTTAAGGTGTTTGGTCCATCTTCATTAATATATCTTTGAACCCGTGGTTTTTCCTCTTCCTGTTCGGGATAGACTTCGTGCATGTCTATCTATTTGTGTTACTTATTCCTTCCATGCTTTTCTATATTATAATATTTACCACGTTATATTCTTACTTATTAGGGACATGTGTGTGCGTGCGTGTGTGTGTGTGTTTGATGAACTTATTAGATAAATTTGCTAGTATAAAGACTAAGGTATATTTTGGAAACTGTGAAGGAGAATAATAATTGGCATCGGTATGTACAGAACTGAAGCACCGGAATGTGCTATGATTATTTATGGTGGCGCTTCGTAATAATGACAAAATATGAAGCCTTACGATTACCATTCAAATTGGTTTTTGTGTTATTCCTTCAATTCGATGTCATATTTTTCTTTGATTGTTTTCTCCTTTCAGCGGCAACTTTCACTGTTGTTGAAGCTTGACCTGTTTAGTTTCATCTCTTCTTCTAGTGCATTTATTAGTTTACTTTTGAGATTTCTCTCGCCCTACCGAAGTATAGATCGCTCTATACTATTTTGAAGCAATTTGTATCGTTCTTTTCAGGTGTGTGCTATAAGCTTTAACATGTAGCTTTTTGTGTCATATGGAAGCAGGTTTAACTGGATTGACTCACCTGGATCTTTTTGGTGCCCAGATCACGGATTCAGGGACAAAATATCTCTCATGTAAGTTAATTGCTTCTTGATTACTTACTAGTACAACATGAGTATACTCGTATTATTAACGCGTGAAGCAAACCAATCTTGATAGCTTTGCTGCATTTGTATTCGGGCGCAATGGTTTTGCATATTTTTCTTTTATTTCCAAATTCTCAAAGTGTGTGCATGTCTCATCAGATTTCAAAAATCTCCGATCTCTTGACATTTGTGGCGGGCGGTTGACGGATGCTGGCGTCAAGAACATAAAGGATCTTTCTTCTCTGATGTTTCTGAACTTGTCACAAAACCTGAAGCTAACAAATACAGCCTTGGAATATCTATCAGGTACTTTTGTGAATATCTATTTCATTCGGTCCATGACTTGCTATATGCGAAAATTCTCTTGACATACTGTTGTACCATGCTACCACAATGGTCCGTGCCTCCACACGTGCCCTCTCTATTGGAGGGCTTAAGGAATAGAGTACTTTGGGTGTACGATATGCTAGTGAGGAAACATGGGAGTGCGCGATTAAATTCTTAAAACTCTATTACTACCTGATGTTACTTGTGTTTTAGCTGTTGTACTTGCGGCTGTTACTGCTTCCTAGACCTTTACACCAGTGGCGGATCTACTCTATGAGTTATGGTTGCTTGAGCACCCATTACTTTTAGAGCTAGATACTATTAGTTGTATAAAAAAACTAGTAAATCCATATAAATACATTAATTGAGCACCCAGTCTCAATAGCAATTTTCAGATTAGAAATAGTTGAGCACCCATGCTTTGAAAATTCTGGATCCGCTATTGCTTTACACTACTGCATTTCTTTTCTATACCCTTGCTTGGAGCTGAGGGTTCACTGGAAACCACCTCTCTACTTGCACAAGGTAGGGGTAAGGCTGCGTTACATAGTACCCTTCTCAGACTCCAAGTGGGATTACACTGGGTTTGTTGGTGGTGGTGGTGGTGGCGTCCGGATTGGTTTGTGTGCATTTCGACTAGTCCGCCTAATACATATGTGTATTAGCCTATTAGGTAACTCAATTGACAAACACTGAGCTAGAGAGGAAGAGACAACATGGTGTTTTTCTTTTCGTTCGTAGTTTTTCATGGTTTTTCCTATTTCATTGGCTAACATCTTGTTTGGAAATGCAGCATTGACATCGTTGGTCTCTTTAAACGTCTCAAACTCGAGTATCACGAACGACGGTTTGCAGTACCTGAAGCGTCTGAAGAATTTACGCTCTCTGTACCTGGAATTTTGTGGTGTGACCGCATGTGAAATCAAGAAGCTTCAAGCCAAAGCCCTTCGGAATCTAGCACGATACCGCCCTGATCAGTGATAACAGTAATGGTTATCACGGATATATATATGGACTAAAGCACCACGATATAAATGGACTACCGCTTTGGTTTGTAAATAAACAAAATAACATGTAGTAGTAGTAATTATTCTATATATTGGTAGGGGAAAAATACTTGTTTTTGCTATGTTGGCGATGACTTTTATTCTCATCAATCTTATTACTTGGCACAGCAGAAGTTGGAATATTGTATCCTATAGGCTATATTGAGCCGCTTGTTCTCAACTTTTGTACATATTTAAGAGAAATGAAAACAAGAGATATGGGTTTCTTTCAGTTTCTGAGTACTGCATGTCTACATCTATTGTTAGAGATAAAATGGTTCAATTATTTTTTTCTTCCTTTTTTACATAATTAATGTACTTAATTAGGAAAGGAAAATTAAGAAATCTATCTGGACAAAACTCGTCAAGATTTGGGAGACTACTAAATTCTAATTTGGAAGTTGTTACTAATTCGATTGAGATGTTCAACTCAAGTTTGGTTAAAAAAGAGTTGGTGTCAAAAAAAAAACAGTAGTGTTGGTGTCAAAAAAAACAAAAAAGAAGCAATAAGGTATTCTTATTTCAAGTCATTGATTTTTCTTTTTGGCGATTGTTAAAATGTAGTGTATGTTTGAGACTAGCAACAACCTTGTGCTGCGGGAGTGTTTCGAGACCATCAATGTCAATGGATGGTTTCACTACACGCCGCATTTGGTCATCCGCACTTGAAGCAGAACTTCATGCTTTATTGATAGGATTGAAAATTGCCCAGGACTTCCATTTTTATCCGCTACAGATAGAAACAAATTCCCAGGTACTGCAAACGATGATTGATACAAGTTCTGATCTCTACTTACCTCTTATTTTGGATTGCAGGTTATTGAAGACACAACTGCGACAATCGGAACTTAAGCATATCTATCGCGAAGCAAACAATGTAGCGGATCTACTGGCAAAACATGGCATGACCTTAGCTCCTTCTACAGGCCAACACCTTTGTCATCCACTACATTACGACGAACCACCGCCTTATGTTTTACTAGCTTTCAATAAAGACTGTTCGAACACTTGTCTAAGAAGAACAATCCCCTTATGTACAAACTCTGCTACATGTCTTTCTTAGCTTTTAATAATATTTTCGTTTTAGCAAAAAAAAAAAAAAAAAAAAAAAAAAAAAAAAAAGCAACAACCTTTCAAATCTTCCCCATTGGTTTAGAGCCTCTTTGACCTATGGGGTTAAAACCTTTTTTTTTTATTATTAAAAAAAGCACTTCTTTTAGTAATTTGATTTGTTTGGCCAAGATAGAGAAGTGCTTTTTGAGAAGTAGCAAGAAGCGATTTTTTAATTTTTCAGCAAATTCTAGCTTCTTCCAACAAAAAGTAGAAATTAATTTTTAAGATAAAAATATCCTTATCCTAATTTTATATTTCCCAATTATCCCTCATCAATTTTACTTTTTTCTTTCTCTTTTTTTTTTTTTTGTTTTGTTTCTACAATCCCTTTATTCTCTTTTTTATTTTTATCATATTTTTTTTATCTAGCAACAGGAGTGAGGCGTACGAAACAACCGATGTGTGACCAAAATAATTTTGGTATTCCCACACCGGCTGCCAAAAAAATTAATGAATAAAAAGTTTTTACTCACAACTTTTTTGATTTCGACCCTTCACCTTTTTAAATCCATAATACATTTCTTAAATATAATATGCTTAAAATCATGCAAAAAAATTGGGATCATTAGAATTTCTAGCTTCATTGAAATTGTCAAAAGTTAGGGTTAGCGAAGGGTTATTATGGTTTTGAAAATTTGATGAAGTTATACCGTATGAGTTTTAATGGTTGAACTAGCCTTTGCATTCATTATACGTATGTCCTCTCCATGATCCACATTTCTTAAATATAAAAATGCTTAAAATTGTGCATTCTTTGAAAACTAATTAAGCCAAAACCCAAGTGTAAATTGATGATTGTGAGTAGATTTCAAATTGGGATATTAGAATTTCTAGCTTCATTTAAATTGACAAATTAGGGTTAGTGAAGAGTTATCATGGTTTTAAAAATTTGATGGAGTTATATCATAATGAGTTCTGAACTATATATTATGTTTCGTGTTTCGCCATTTGCTATTGATGTAACTAGTTCGTTTGAAAGAAAAAAAAATGCATATAACTCGACTTGTAATTAGTTTTCTGTCAAAATACAAGGTTCTGTGTGTGTGAGTTAGCCTAGTTAGCGTTTGGCCATAGATCCCAAATTTATTTTGAAAAATCTGATTTGGGTGAAGTTTGGTTTGAAGATGAAAATGTGTTTGGACATACGTTTTCAAAACATATTTTCCAACTTTATTTTGGAAAAACATGTATATAATTCCCAAGTTTTGGGATTTTGGCCCAAAATCAGGAGCTGATTTTTGGATTTGAGATTTGAGATTTGGGATTTGGCCAAAATATGGGCAAAATTTATGGCCAAACATGAGTTTTAAAAATAAATCCCAAATTTATTTTGGCAAAACTCATGATCAAATGGGGAGTGTGTATTCAGATTCAGATTAAAAAAAAGGAGAAGTAATAGCCAAGCTCCCCAAGCATGAATGCCACGGTAACCAGGGCTAGCTGCCCCCATGCTTGCTGGTGCTAACACGCACAGATAGGTTGAGTTTGATCGTACTACTCTATTTCCCCACAGATGGATTGAGCACGAGTTAGGATAATCAAAGCCCTTACTAATGCTCTACGGATGGGTCGAGCTTGATTGTACCACTCGATGGCCCCACAGATAGGTTGAGCTTTTAATGAGCATAATTAATGGCCTCACATCAGCTTTAGAACAGGGCCGACTCAAACATAGTATGAGGTAAAGCAAGTGTCTTAGGCCCTCAATTTTGGGGGCCCCCATTTTTTAGGAATAAAGAGTATGTTTGATTGGTTTATAGGTTTTTAGGTTTTTCTTTTTTTTTTTTTAAAAAAAAAAATTTATGTATATAGTACTTTTGTACTTTTCATATAGAAAGAAAGAAAAAACTTTAGATATATTAGTAAATTAAAGTTTAAAATAGTAGGAAAATAGTTGTCACTTTGATTTAATTTGACAACTTTACTTTTTATTCACTAGAAAAAAAATTGGAATTAGCTAGGAACATCGTCGCTAATCCGTCGCTAAAGCGCTCGTAGCTAACAGAATTTCTTAATCCGTTGCTAATCCGTCGCTACATGAGATTAATGACGGATTTTTCTATTTAGCTACAGAATTTGTCCTTCGCTAAAACCTGAAATTTTAGTAGTGATTCTTCCAAGTAATCCCTAGCTAACGTTTCAGTTCTAGTGCTAACATTCATTCATTCTTCATATTCCAGAAGACATATCTTCTTCCTTCCTCTTTATTCATGATTCATGCTCATCTTCTTAATTCTTTCTACTAGATCTCTTTCTTTCTCCAAGACTCCAACAAGCCAATAACTAGATATTTTAGAATCAAAGTCTTCAAACTTCTTGAATTAGTCAGTCATTGGGTAATATCATTCTAATTTTCTAGTATTATTTTTATTTATTATTTATTATTTTATTAATTTTATTCTGTACATATTGTTTTTTTATTTTTAGAATATAAATATGTCAACAAGAAATATGCATCTGGTTATTAAAAAATACAAAAGAAAAGAAAAGTTGAAAATTTAATAAAATGTCAAAAAGGAGCGCTTGACAAATTTTTGACAAACAATAAAAAATAAGGCTCCATGTTAAATTTTCGCCTTAGGCTCCATATACGCTTGAGCCGCCCCTGCTTTAGAAGTCCCACTTCGTGCTCACGTACATAAAACCATTTTATGTGCAAAGTTTTCAGAAAAGCTATTTCTTCAAAGATTAACTCAGTATTCAGAATGTTAAATAGTGGATGAGAGTAGGCTCAAGTCTCAACATGCTAAAGAATAGACCCGAAGCAAAGAAAGGGTAAGCTCATCAAGTTAACACGTGAAATTAAAGCAAGGTTAGTGGGAGGAGGGAGAGCTTGATGCGCTGAATATAAATGAGAGAATCATAAAGTTATATATCATATTTTGAGAGAAACAATTTTAAAACTTTATCAAAGTTTCACTTTAATACCACGTTAAATAATTTGAGTATCTAATTCAAAATTTTAAGGCAGTTTGATGAAGTTATATCCTATTATGTTTCATGTTTTATTGGTGGTATTAAAGTTACTAGTTCGTTTGAGACAAGTTATGGCATGTGTCCCAAAAAAAATGTATATTCCAGATATTTTGTCGTGGGTGCTACTTGAAAAAATTGTTATCTACCGATGGGTTCCCTGGTTTTTGGATTTTCATTTCTTTGTTCCAAAAGGAACTTAAGAGAAGATAATGAGACTGGAAAAAAGGTCCCCTTTTATAGAAGAGCTATAGAGACGGATGTGGATTCAATCTGGGCCTTTCCTTTCAGATGACAACTGCCTCTTCCTGCTGCGAGGGCTAGGCATATAGGTAAGATTTTATTTAAAAATATCTCTAGTCAGTTCTTCCATCCAAAGTAACGTTTCTTGGCATTCCTATCCTAGAAATATTTTTAAATAAAATCTTGATCCATTACATCATCTTATGCATTTTCACACGAAAGAGAAATACTGAAAAAACAGATAAGATAAACTACAAGCACAACTTTTCATTGAAAAGTAAAACTCATTACTCAGCACTAACCACCCAAATGAGAACAAACGCACGCAAACACTATACACATATGACATAATGGAAATAAGGATTGAAACTTTACTACACCAAATGCAAAAGGAGCCAACCCCAGTTCTTTATTTTTAGGAAGCAACCTCTCCCCTCCCTATGGGTCCATTCATTGACAAAAAAAATAATTGACAGTTTGAACATCCTTAACGGAATTCCTGGCTAAAGCACTGGTTATAATCCCATATTTGTTCCTAAAATTATCTATTACTAGAAATCCGGTAATTAGCGACCACAAAAACCGACCAACGTTGGTCGGTTTTGGCAAATTACCGACCAAAACGCGTCCAAACACGCTTGGTCGCTATTTTGGTGATCGTTTTAGTATACCGACCAAGGTTGGTCGCTAATTACCGACCAAGGTTGGTCGTAAAGGTAAAAGGACCAACCGTACAATTTAAAGCACATACCGACCAACTTTAGTCGGTGTAATATATTTTAATAATTTAATTTTACCGAGCAAAGTTGGTCGGTGTATTTAAATTACGTTATTTTATTAATTATTAAAATTTAAAAATTAGCGACCAAAGTTGGTCGGTAAAGTAAAATATATATTTTTTTTAAAAAATTAAAATTTAACCATACCGACCAAATTTGGTCGGTAAAGTTAAAATCTGGGTAATCCTTGTTCATTAACTGACCAACTTTGGTCGGTAATTTTTAATTTTTAATTTTTTTTGAACTTAAGCGACCAACCTTGGTCGCTAATCAGCAGAAAATTATTTTTTTAATTAGAAACCGACCAACTTTGGTCGGTTTTCTGGGTTTTAATTTTGGCATGAAATGCCTGTTTTGGCAGCTACACACCTGCCAACATACCAAAATTCCTAAATAACAACACAACAACAACAACAACAACGACACAACAACAACAACAACAACAACACAATTCAATAAATACATTAAAACTAACAAATTAAAGTTCAATAGAACTAAAAAATACAACTAGTTCAAAACCGGTTCTATTTGTCTGTTCAAAGTATATAAAAGTCAAGGAGTGTTTTGTACAACATCACCATCACCGTCTGATGAACTTTCATCTAAAAGACGGTGTCGAGAAGGTCTTGTGGAGGACGGGAAGAACGACCATGGGGAGGACGGCTCACGTGCAGGTCGAGCCTCTGGCGATGACTCACGAGACCGGGGCAACGGAAAAGCTCCAGTAGATAGGAGAGTTCTGATCTGAGCTTGCATGCCAAGGAATTGAGCATCTCTAACCCTTTCTCTTTCCTTGGCCACTTCTATCGGATGTGAGCTTTGTCACAGTCTCCCGCATAGCGAAGAGACTCTCTCCATTAAGTTGCTCGCCTTGCGAGGAAGTCCTTATTCCTTGCATTCTACACTTATAGCGATGGAAATTTTTAGTAGGAAGCCCGTATACCTTCCCCCATTTTGGACCGCCAGCAGACTCCATCCATATTCTTTCAGCATCCTCGTCCGAAGATTGGGTTGGCTCGCCCGATTCACCAGCTGGCTGAGTGCGGATGAATTCCTCCACGTTAGTTTGGTAGCGACCCTATACAAAAATTTAAATTGAATTAGTATTTCAAAATTTATATAAAAGTAAATTAAAATACTTAAAGAAAAGTGAAAGCTCACATATACAGTCGAGGCCCGGTCTTCGACCCAGCTTTCTTGATCCGTTTCTTTCTTCTTCTTTACAATATGCGTCTCCTTGAATAGCTCATCATGGTTCATTGGACGCCCCAACTTCTTTTCCTGATAACAAATTAATTTAGTTAATAAACAGAATAGTTATACTTTAAAAACTAAAATAATTTAAGCAATTACGTATCAATCTTCTTTTTATTGTTCTTAGGCTGATCGCACCTTCAGTGTGCAAGGAGCCTCCCTTCTCAGATGCGCGAGCTTTTTTTCCTTTTTCGCTCTTCTCTAAGAACTTTGCGGTAAGCCATTGTCTTTGCAAGTCATCCCATAAATTTTGAAGTAACCAGTCAGGCTTCTTGTTCTTCTTTCTAGCTTCGGAGAAAGTATGCGACAGTCGCTTGCGAGCTTTGTGATGAAAATTTGCAGCCACTTCCGCGCTATAGCGGTGTTCCCATACACACTTTCTCTGTATTTCAAAAGTTAAATATTATATGGAAATATCATAAATATAAATTATTAAACTGCTTAAAAGAACATTTATACCTTAAATTGATTGAAAATTTGCTCCTTCAGCGAGAATGGAAAATCAGTCCAAGTCGCATAAGGGCCATCATAAAGCTTTCTGATGGCTTTGGTGATTATCCTCGTAGTCTTATTACTCGGGATGAATCTGCAATTTAACAATAAAACTACATTAATATCTTAGTAAAAACTTTACAAAATAATAAACGCAAAAATAACAAATAACTCTTACCCATCACCCTCAGGGACTATGATGATCCTGCCATATTGATCATAATGCACCTTTTCGTCATCATCAGCATCATCGTCTGAAGCATGTATATCAAAGGCATGTGTGGATGGTGTAGGGGGTCAGAGCTACTACCTCGCAGGCGAAGGCCTAAAATAAATGGAGTCGCTGATGAAGATGGCTGCGATCCCTGTGACTGCGACATAGCTGGATGGACCCCAAGTGGCTGTGATACTGATGGTTGTGACTAGAGTGGCCGTGATCCATGTGGCTGTGACATGGATGTATGGCGATCCATGCGATGCAGATGGCTGCGATCCACGTGGTCGTGAGGCAGCTGGACTGTATGTCGGACGTATAGCCCTATGGCCCTGTGATGAAAGACCTGGTGTCTGCATGAAGGTGTAGGGCTTGTGATATTGTGACAGCTCAGTATAGCCGTGGGGTGGAGGATAAGACATAGGCATAGGCATAGGCATCTTTGAAGAGGGTGGAAAAGATGAGTATTATTTTCTACCCTCATCTTTCCCTTCCTAGCCTTTTCTCGACCCCGAGAACCAGTAGGATCATTGTTACCTTGATCCTTGCCTGCCATCTGCATAATATAATACATATTTAGATTAAAACATATAAGAAACTAGCTATAAGACGAGAGTTATTTAAAAAACCAACTTTTTAAAGCTCATCGACGTATTGTTCCTCGTTCGAGAATTCTTCGTCCTCACTTGTTTGAGCTTCATCAGTTGATTCTTGGTCCTCATTTTCTATAATTGTTACTTCATTTATATCAACTTCTTCCAATATGTGTTATGAAAATTTCAAGAAAAAGCTAAAAAAAGCCAAGATTAACACCCTGTCACACAAGAAAGGAGTGGACAGTGCGTAATTTCAGAGATGCACGTGTCAATCCTATATATGTAAATGTTAAATGCACGTGCATAATTAGGTTTTTGGAAGCGGGATATCTTGGTCAACACAACCAAAAGGTTTAAAAGCTAAAAGCCTAAAAGTGCATATTTGGCCAACAGAATTGCTCCGTGCTTTTGCCCTAACTAGGGTTTTACGAAGATGCCTCTTGATAAAGTAAGAAGTGCGGGGTCCATCCCATTTGTAATAGGCATGTGCCCTATGATTACTTTGGCCGCAAGTTTGAAAATGAATGGAGGAGAATTGAAGCTCTTCTTGTAGCATTCTTGGAGGCTACGTATTTTCTCCTATAAAAGGAGACCTCTTTCACTTCTTTCAAACATACCAACAAAGAGAGAAAGAAAGAGTGAGGCATCACAGATAGGGTATAAGAAAATAGTCTGAGAGAAAAATAGAGAGTGTGAGCGATATTGTAGTGATGCGGGAATATCAAAAGAGGGTTTTTTGTTTTGAGTGTTGTAGTGGTCTTTGGAGTATATCAGTTGCTCCTCTCGGGGTCGTGGTTTTTCCCTTATTTAGAAGGGTTTTCCATGTAAAAATCTTGGTATCGTTGTCACTCTTTTATTCTTGTTGATAACCGTATCTCAGATCTACATTATTATTCCGCTTTATTACCGTAAATATTATTACTGTGGAGGATTTATTTCCAACAAGAAGCTGTGGCTGTTAAGATCCGGAAAGACGAAGCGAGAAACTCCGAAGCATCCGGTGGGCTTTTATTTCCTTTTTCTTTTTCTGGTTGGGTCTTATTTTATCAATTCTTGATTAGTAAGAATTGATGTCTTCTGTTCGCTTACATGCTTTGTCTGCAATGCTGAATTTAATAATGAATTGTTGGTTTACAGAAGACATCATGGATGAAGGATGTTTGGTCGGATGATATCAATCGCAGCTGGAGGGGACCTCACGAGTCCGGAAATTGGTTGATATGATCATGATCCAGGCTCACGACTCCGGAACTTGGTTGATATCAGAAGGAGTCTTCATGTTGGAGAAGTTAGGTCTCATGTTGCTCGATTTGTTGAGTTTCTGACCAAGAAAGATTCTTGGCAGCTCCAGGCAGAGAATTAATTATTAGCTTTTTAACGAACATTTGCTTTATCCTTATGGTTTTGCATTCATAGGTTGAAGCTGCTTGGGCTCTCACCAGTGCTTTTGACGGCTCGACGCCTTCGATTGACCATTTGCTGGAGCCAATATTCCAAAAACTGTATTCCAATCAGGTGTGTTTTAGATCCCTACGACATGTTGTATTTTCTTTCCAACTATAGGCTGGTCATATGTGGTTTTCTGAATGGTTGTGTTGCGGCCAAACGCACACGCAAGTATACGCGGTCGTCAAGTAATAAAGTGACTAAAAGTCGGATGTCGATCCCACGAGGACTTGTGATTAACTATTAACTAAATTAGACTATCCTGATTATCTAAACAAGAATTAAACCTAGAAGTATTTGATTCTAAACTAATTAAAATAAAGAAATATATATAATGAACTTTTAACAGAGAGAAAGAGCAGATTTTTATGATATCAATGTAATGAAAACGATCTAGGGTTATGTGCTATCTAACATTCCTATTGTATTCTTCAATTGAATTGACTAACTAATTTATCGAGTTTATTGGTTGACAGGGTTAATATTGCTCATAAGAATCTGTCGAGTTCTTACTCGCCTATTCAAGCTAACCTAACTCCTATATGTCTATGGAATTGGAATCAACAAGAACGCATTTATAATTCCTGTAAATCAACCAAGCAAGGCAATTAGGTATATGTCTATCCTAACCGCGAATCCGTTCCCCGAGGCCCAGGTTCAAGAACTTGCTCTACTCAATCCTATATGCAATCTAGAATTCCCACTTTCGAGTTCAAGTCTAGATTCGTATATAGTATTCAGTTGGTGATCAAGCAATCAAATAATTAAGTGCAGGATTGAATAAATAAACCAATATGATAAACTAAGAAATCAAAATCAATATCCGAATAACAATAGTCATGAAAGAACCACAACCCTAGAACGTGAAGTTTAGCTCCACATAGACATGGTAGCAAAACAACAAATCATACAAAGAAACATAAAAAGACTAAGTTGGTGGAAGAAAAGATGAAACCCGGCCTCCACGGCGGCTCTGTGCTTGTGTTTTCCTCTCAAAAACGTCCTCCCCTTCTTGCCTCTTGATACCTTGCACTAGCCTATGAAAAAATTGATAAATTAACCTTGGGCGAGCTTGACTTTATATAGGTTAAGTGGGTTTCTCTCCAGATTTCCAATTTTGCCCCTAAATAACTCTTTTCCGGACTGGGAAACGCGCGAGCTCGCGCGTGACTTCGCGCATCATTCTGCCTCAGCTCCCTAACACGCGCGACTTCGCGCATGAGCTCGCGCACCTGGGCCATCATTTCTTCCATTTCTTTGTCTCGTCCTTGCGCGCACTCAGCTCCGAGGGGTCGTTCTTGCTCATAAATCATTCCAATAGCCTCTTGAAAGCATCACATAAGCTCCTCATCCTGCATTGTATACAATTCACAATTAGAGCCTATTTTTCATCAATTAACCATATTATGACATTGGAATATAATCAAGCGGAAGCATAAACAATAGCTAAATCACCTAGATTTAACCTATTATCAACACCCCCACACTTAATTCATTGCTAGTCCTCGAGCAATCAAACTATACTCTCTAGAGATTTCTTCACTCAACCATTTCCCCTAACGCATTACACATTGAACAATTTATATACATTACGCCTAGCAGTGAACAATCCTAGCCTCAAAGGTCGACTCTCAAGTGCCATGCAATATTCATACTTCCTCAACATACTCTACACAGAGGTCAAGACTTGCCTTTCCTTTACGAATCACATGCCCTCTCATTCACAGCAGAAATATATAGATCAATCCACACAATCGAGTTTTCATGCTTACATATGTCAAAGAAAAATCACTCACACTCACAAAAGAAGTCACATGCATGCAATTGGTACCATAAGCTTGCCCTTAATGTAAATCTCTACTAATGTAGGCTCACTCGGTCTAAAATCAATTAGGTCTTTTTCATGGTTGTAATGTGGGCTAAGGGACGGGTAGGATATATTTAGGAATAGTGGTTCACCCTCCTAAGCACTTTAACACATCACATAATCACTTTGAGCGCAAATTCTTCAATCCCTATTTCAATTTCACAAACAATATCACCCCAAAATTTCTCCTTTTTTTTTCTTTTTCTTTTCAATTTCCGCTAGTGGTGTATTATTTTACAAATATAAGTGCACCCATCTTTCTTTCATTGGTTCCACTCAAAAGCCATCCCACGCTAGTCCCTTCTTACTTCTTTTAGCGCTCATCTCACAATTAAAGTGCTTTAAGAGGAAAAAGGATCAAAGATATCAAATAAGAACAAAAAGGATATAGGCTTGTAATGTGGTGCCAAAGAAAAGTCCATAGGCTCAAAAGGGTTAACTAGGGATAGCTTTTATTTGTGGTAAGCAATTAGGCTCAACAAGATCAAAGAAAGCCTAAAATCATTTTTCAAACCGAAACATCACCTAAAATTTCGCTTCGACTCACAAACCGGGCAAGTTCTAGACACAAGTACAATACATGGACTACATAAAAGCCTCACCACACATGGCACATGACTCGTTTCAGATCAGCTCATCAAGATACTCCATTATGAGCATTCAATTCAGTCAAACATACAGACTAAGGCACTTTAGTGAGATTCAACAAACAAGACTAAGCGTTACACTCTAGGGTCTATTGTGTTCAGGTGTGTTAACGCTATGGGTTCTCTTTTGAATTTTCTAGCTCGTAGCCCATTAACCTAATCTACAAATAAAAAGTAAAAACAAAAACTACCTACACCAGGTTCAAGTTAAACCCTTGGAAAAGAACCGTGGTATAAAGAAAAACCAAGGGGAAGTTGCTACACTACCTAAAAAAAAAAATCTTTTTGGTGTTTTTCTTAGACTAACTTCCCTCAAGAAAATCGTCTAAAAGATTCGTCATCAGGAAGAGTCTATTTTTTTTCGTTTTTCTAAAAAAAAATATTCAATTAAGCTAACACAACTAAAATAGCATAGAAAGTCACTCAGACAATCTCCTCACCCCACACTTAAAATTGTGCAGTGTCCTCAATGCACACTATAAATAATAAGAGGGTAAAAGAGACTCCCTGGTAGGCCAAAGGTCGAAGAATTAGCAGCTCACGGGATATTCAGACTTCTCCCACGTATGATCCTTTGTGCGGGTACCTCACACTCAGTTTCAAACGCATGCTCGCTTTGGCACACTTCCTGTGGCTTTGCTCCCTATGCTCAAAATCCTACAAAATAAAACAACACTACAAAAATAATAAAAATAATAAAATAAACATAAATAAAAGAAAGCAGTAAAGCTGGGTTGCCTCCCAACAAGCGCCTAATTTAACGTCGCGGCACGACTTGAACCAATTTTATCTCCACCTTGAACTTATGAATTGTACCCCTAACATGGCATCCAGTCTGTGGCTATGCACGGTGGGGCTACAAAGATAACCAGGCCAAGTAATAAATTTTTTACTCTGCACCTCTCGCCCTTTAGATGAGGAATGTAATTTTTGCTCTTTGGCACAACAAATTCAAGAATATAGGCACTCTCGTCCTCACTCTTTGACCCTCTCATTGGCTCAGATGGCTCGATTACAATCTTACTATCTAAACACAATGTGAAAAAATGATTAGAATGAGGTCTAATGCGCCCTAACTCATGAATTTTACTACTATTTGCATCTCCATATTTACACACACTCAAGTCTCCCAAAGTAATGTTATCTACTCCCTCACATGACTCTAGAGCACTCTTCTCAATATTTGCATCCTCAAGAAAAACATGGTCTAGTGATTGGTATTCTCGCTTTAGCTCCTCAATTTGGTCTAAAAGATTTTTTTCAGCTTCACACAACTCATTATTAAATTGCTAGGAGTTATACGCATCAACCTTTGCACTCAAATTGCATCTAAGTTATGTACAACCAAGCCAAAATTATCAATTTTATGTGCAAGTTCATCTCTCTCCTTAGACCAATCATTCACCAACGTTGTTAGAAGACAACGTCGTTTCGCATATTCGCCTAATTGTGAATATTCTTCCCAATACCAACCCTTACTCCCGTATTCAAATTCAGACCTCCAAGAAGTCAGGCCATGACAAGACCAAAAATACGAGCCATAAAAGTCTTTTGTCAACCAAGAGTCTTCATCAATAGCCTTACCTCCGTATATTTCATCCCCAGATGTCATGCTGAGAGAACTAGGAACACACTAAGAGAAAAATATCAAATATTTGTAAAAATAAAAGTATATACAAAAAAGGATAAAATTTAAAGTCTAATCTAGAAAAATAGTTAATTTCTAAGTCCCCGGCAACGGCGCCAAAAACTTATTGCGGCCAAACGCACACGCAAGTATACGCGGTCGTCAAGTAATAAAGTGATTAAAAGTCGGATGTCGATCCCACGAGGACTTATGATTAACTATTAACTAAATTAGACTATCCTGATTATCTAAACAAGAATTAAACCTAGAAGTATTTGATTCTAAACTAATTAAAATAAAGAAATATATATAATGAACTTTTAACAGAGAGAAAGAGCAGATTTTTATGATATCAATGTAATGAAAACGATCTAGGGTTATGGGCTATCTAACATTCCTATTGTATTCTTCAATTGAATTGACTAACTAATTTATCGAGTTTATTGGTTGACAGGGTTAATATTGCTCATAAGAATCTGTCGAGTTCTTACTCGCCTATTCAAGCTAACCTAACTCCTATATGTCTATTGGAATTAGAATCAACAAGAACGCATTTATAATTCCTGTAAATCAACCAAGCAAGGCAATTAGGTATATGTCTATCCTAACCGCGAATCCGTTCCCCGAGGCCCAGGTTCAAGAACTTGCTCTACTCAATCCTATATGCAATCTAGAATTCCCACTTTCGAGTTCAAGTCTAGATTCGTAGATAGTATTCAGTTGGTGATCAAGCAATCAAATAATTAAGTGCAGGATTGAATAAATAAACCAATATGATAAACTAAGAAATCAAAATCAATATCTGAATAACAATAGTCATGAAAGAACCACAACCTTAGAACGTGATGTTTAGCTCCACATAGACATGGTAGCAAAACAACAAATCATACAAAGAAACATAAAAAGACTAAGTTGGTGGAAGAAAAGATGAAACCCGGCCTCCACGGCGGCTCTATGCTTGTGTTTTCCTCTCAAAAACATCCTCCCCTTCTTGCCTCTTGATACCTTGCACTAGCCTATGAAAAACATGATAAATTAACCTTGGGCGAGCTTGACTTTATATAGGTTAAGTGGGTTTCTCTCCAGATTTCCAATTTTGCCCCTGAATAACTCTTTTCCGGACTGGGAAACGCGCGAGCTCGCGCGTGACTTCGCGCATCATTCTGCCTTAGCTCCCTAACACGCGCGACTTCGCGCATGAGCTCGCGCATCTGCTCGCGCACCTGGGCCATCATTTCTTCCATTTCTTTGTCTCGTCCTTGCGCGCACTCAGCTCCGAGGGGTCGTTCTTGCTCATAAATCATTCCAATAGCCTCTTGAAAGCATCACATAAGCTCCTCATCCTGCAATGTATATAATTCACAATTAGAGCCTATTTTTCATCAATTAACCATATTATGACATTGGAATATAATCAAGCGGAAGCATAAACAATAGCTAAATCACCTAGATTTAACCTATTATCAGGTTGGTTTACAGGAAAGTCTTGAATTAGCGGTCGCTGGTATTTTGTCCGATCATACAATTCTGCAGGGCATAGCAACCAAACAATTCCGAACACTGCTCTCTATCAGTATGACTAAGCCTGCTCCGGGCTAATTTTTTTTTATTCAATTTGCCTATCACTTACTTTGCCCATTTTTTTCCACAGATAAGACATTTGATTTTGCGAAGCTATGAAGTTTAGTGTTATTTCGATTTGCTCAGTTTATAAAGACGCCAGATTGCCCGCAGCTGCTCAAGGTAGACAGTGATGTGTTGTTGATTACCTTTCTGCACCTTCTTTAGCGTCTTGCGGTTCTAGCTTCACACTTGCTTTATCCTTATGGCTTCACACTGCCTGGATTCTCGTACTCATTTTCTCTTTCCGCCTCGCCCATATATTTGATATGGTTGAATATGGGCTGGTGGAAGTTCTTGTAAAGCTCCTGGAATCTCCAGATGGAAGTCTTTGTGAGAAGGTGTGTTTTATAATTGGAAGAGCCCCCCCTCCCCCCGTCCCCACATGTTGTATAAGTTATAACGATTAACCGGCTGAATGTATTTTCTTTCCATCTATAGGTTGTGATGGTAGTGGAAAGAATTGTTACCGGTGATTGTGATTGTGTTCTTGAACAACAATTTTTCGATGCAGAGAAAAGCCACGAGGACTTTGTCACTGATTTTTAAAAGCAAGCCGGATCTTCCATCTGAGCAGGTTGGTTAATGACTGTTGAAAAGTTCTTACGCCTGCAATTATTTAATTCAAAATACTAATCCTCATAGGTCTAGTAAAAATGAAAGAAAGAACTTATTTGTCTTTCTATTACTGATTACTATTCATTTGTCAGGTTACTTCAGCAGTCTGTTCTCTTTTAGAGCTTCTTTGTTCAGATGATGATGAGGTGCTAACAAATGTACGTTGTGCACTTTCTTACTGTATTGATGGTATACATGGCATTATCCAAGACCACAATAACTGGGATATTTATGACCGGCTGTTTGTACTCCTCCAGTGAGTGGAATGTTTTAGTTTCCTCATTTAACCTACTTTTTCATATCTAACTTATGGTTGAATCTGATATGTCAATTGATGTTTCAGGCACGAGTCTCATTCAGTAATAATCCCCGTCCTCAAAATACTTGTAAAGATTGTTGATAGAGAGAAGAGCTGGTCTTATAAGGTACATGGGCCTATAGAGCTTTTAGAAGCTTTCGTGCTTGAATCCAAACACTTAACAAAATAAACAAAACAAAATAAAATGATTGAAAGGTGGAAACATCATAAACAGTATGCATTCAGATGATGATTCGACATGTTCCTGAATCAACTTCGAATTTGGTCTTTTTCTTTTCAGTTCATTTCTTGACTCTACAGCACTGGGGGTATGTTCGCTACTGGATTTAGTCTGGGTTCTCTATACATAGGACCCATCTACTAGCATGCTACACAACTATCATTTTTATTTCCTACACAGCAACTCTTAGTTTTTAGTTTTCTTTTTTTTAGTTATTGTACTAGTAGTCAGCAACCTATGTAAATCTACAGTTATCGACAGTGGTTGTCTTAGTGTTGACTTTTCTGTGCAACAAGACATATGATCAAAATGGCTATCGAATCTTGTGCGTTGGATCGACACACCCCTACCGCTCCTTTCCAGCTTCATGAAACCTACTCCCATCCACCTATGCCCTTCATGTGGAAAGAAATCTTAGTACCTCCCAGTGGAGACACTCCTGTAACTGTTACGTCTACCACCCCAAGCTTCCAATGCCTAATTTCGAATAGTCTCCGTAGAACCCACCCATTCATTAAAACTGCCCAGCAAACAAGATTTTAAACAAAATGAATTGGTGTAACCTGCTATGTGCCAAAATTGTTAGATGAGTGCATTATGCAAAGATCGCTGCAATATTTTTCTTCCTTTTTTGTATTTTTAAAATGTATCTGTGTCAGGCATGCATATTGCTTTGTTGTTGACTAACGATAACCAACTTCACCACCCAGTTCAATCCCGCCTACCTTGGTTGCCTGGTGACGTTGCTTGAAAACCACAACGACGATGCAGAGGTGGTCACCAGCATTTGCAGCATTATATATGAGATTATCGAGTGTGGGAATATAGAGGTATGTCTTCAATATTTAGAAGGACAGCTAAAATATTCAGCTCTTGGGTACATTATCCTCATGCCTTCTAAGGTCTTAACAGATTTTGCAGATCTTGGGGTAGTGGAATAGGTGAATATGAGATTGAAATAGTTGGTTGTAATATATGGCCCCCAAATTTTCTCTTTCTTTTTCTTTTAGTGAGACTTTTCATTGGATGAAACCATATCCATTTATTATCTGAATAGTTTGTAATTGTGAGCAGGCTGTGTTTGCGGCTGGATTTATAGAAAGTCTAGTCAATTTGATTCAAACTCTGAAGGTTGGTAAGTCAAACCTTGTTTTAGTAGAATCATCATTTATGATGCTGCGCAACAATTAATATTGCTATTGCCAGTGGGAATGATGCTCATATCAAGTATGTAACCTCTTTTTCGGGGTGATGATCTCTCTGACATGGCTGATATTTTTACTAAATTTCTATGTATCTTTGTGCTTTTGGCTTTAGGTACTTGGTGGATGTCTGCTGCATAGAGGTTCTGTGTGATGTTATTGCTTCATGCTGTAGTGTAGAATTTATGAGGGACAGTCTTGAAAAATTAGAGAAAATCTTGGAGGTTGGGGCAAAAGATGCTCCGTCTATTGAGTATGCTCGCCGGATTGAAAAGAAGATTAAAAGCATTCACGCTAGCAGTTTGCCTAGGCAAGTACAGTTCTATTTTGGTGAGTTTTTGCGGAAATTGGACAAGTATCTGGGAATGAGTATGCTGGATCTCAAGTAGGGCTGGGCATATATCGGGTAAAACCGATAACCCGAACCGTTAATTATTTATTGGGTTATCGGTATCGGGTTATTGGGTTAATGGTTCGATAACGGTTTAAAATTTTTTCACTATTGGGTTATCGGTTCGGGCCTCGGTTTGTCAATTTTGTTAATGGGTTAACCGATAACCCAATACGAATTAATAAAATTACGACTTTACCTTAAGTATATACAAATGTTAGGGCTTCATTTCATTCTGTCCTATTCGTTCTCAACCGAACTCTTCAGTTGCTTCATCTTCATTCTTCATGGACCTTACTAGTTACTCCTAGTGTAAGTCTTTAATATGTTATATGTGAATTCTTCTCTTTTTTGCTTAACTCCAGTGAATTGTCCTCTCTTTTTTGCTTAACTCTAGATTGAGTTATCTTATCGGGTAAATCGAGAACCGAACCGATAATGATCGATAACCGATTAACCGATACCCGATAACCGATATCTTATCGGTTCGGTTATCGGTTTATCAAATTTGTAAACCGATAACCGATATGCTAAACCGATAATATTCATAACCGAACCGAACGATGCCCACCCCTAATCTCAAGTGAATCACATGTTTTGAGTCTTATTTACATTCTGTTAAGTACCCTGAAATTCAGTGTGTAATTCAGTTAACTATATAAGTTTGCTGCTGAGAATATGACAAATCCAGTCCAAGAATCTAATATATTTGCAGCATTGCACTGCAATGCATCATTGTCTCCAGGTTGATTGTCACCATTGCATGATTCAGAAATTGGAGTTTCTCTCAAAGCAATCACAGCAGTAAGAAAAGAAGCCTGCGATAGAACGATTTCCAATATTAATACAACAAAGGACCAAAATTAGTGTCTACTTCATACCCAAATCAGCACTTAAAAACTAAATTTATTAAAGGATTAGACACTAGATGTCAAAAGATTGAACTAAGCACCTTTTAGTGACATCTAAATTGATATGAACAGTTTATGCATGAGTTGCCATTGAAACAAAAAGAATGGCTAATCATAAACACATTCTAAATAGACGATAATGTCATATTTAAAAGTCCAAATATCTATTTTAAAAAGGGCAAATTTGAGAAGTATAAATATCTGGTCGAGTAAGCACATCAAAATGACAAAATTTAACATGGTAGAATACAAGAAATTTGTATAGCACACTAAATATTAAAAGCTTTAGAAGACAATTCAATATGAAATTAATGATGTTCAAAACGATTTCCATAGTGGACTTGAGTTATTTAGTTGCAAACACCTGGGAAAGTGCTCCAGAAGCTTTGAATAAAGATGTACAATATAGTCATTAACAATTCTCGATGACCTTAAAATTGATTTAAGAGGCAACAAGGTCATAATATGTCAAGTTGTCCTTCATTCTTCCCATCAAATAATTGGTGGAATATTTCAATATTAAGGAAAACTTGGGGCACAACTACTACAACATCTTGCATCTTCCCCATTTTTTTTTTTTTTAGGATAATCTAGAAATCCCGAGGTTAATGGTGCACGGTTCGAAACTCAGTGTAGATAATGAGTCTGCCCTTATACCCTTCTCCATTTATATACCAAGCTTTTGTCGGCAGCAAGGTTCGAACATGTGATATGCGCCTAGCCCATGACCACAAACATTTGTCAACTTGGATCAAGCTTGAGGCTCAAGGGATCAAAGACTTTAATAAGCCCATATTTCGTTTCCATCTTTGTTTCATTGTTATTACATTCAAAATTATAACAATTATAGGGGTATCAAGCTGTTGAGTCACACTATGAAGGTTTGGGAGAGGGTGGTGGAGGACAGGGTGAGGAGGTGCGTGTCTATTTTCGAGAATCAGTTTGGATTCATGCCGGGACATTCGACTACGGAAGCGATTCATCTGGTAAGGAAATTAGTGGAGCAGTACAGGGAGAGGAAAACTTGTTGCTCCCAAACGCACACGCAAGTATACGTGGTCGACAAGTAATATAGGATTGTAAGTCCAGATATCGTACCCACAGGGACTTGTGATTAACTATCAACCAAATTAAACCAAACAATTAATCTATTCAAGCGAATCCTAAAGTATGAATATTTAACTAAAGATAATCTAGAGTAGTAAACTAAGAGATTAAATAAAACAAGTTGGCGAATTATAGAGACGAATTTAATGTGAGTGAATATTCTAGAGCTATGGGTTAGCTAACAATCCCGTTGAGTTTTCCACCTAAATCGTCTAATTAATTTATCTGGTTTATTGATTGACAGGGTTAATATTGCTCGTAGCCTTCTCCCGAAGTACAACTCGCCTATTCAAGCTAACCTAACGCCTATATTCATATAGAATTAGGATTAACAAGAACACATTTATAATTCCCGTATAATAACCAAGCAAGGCGATTAGGTATATTCCTATCCTAACCGCAAATCCGCTCCCCCTAAGAGTTAAGATCTTGCTCTACTCAATCTTATATGCAATCTAGAATTCCCTCTCCCGAGTTCAATCCTAGATTCGTAGATAGTATTCAATTGGTGATCAAGCAATCAAATAATTAAGCGCAAGATTGAATAAACAAACCAATATGATAAAATAAAAGAACAATTCAAGCTTCAAACTACAACGTTCATGTAGCACCCAAAACTCTAGAACTAATAAACTATGAAATTAAAGGAAGAGAAGAGAAGAAAAACTAGTTAGAAGCCTCCTCCAAGCGTGGTGTTAGATATCACCAAAAGTGGCGTCCTCTCCCGTCCAAAAATTACTCTAAAAACGTTCTCTCATGTATATATACCAAGTAGGGTTGGCCCCAAACAATTATACCTTCTCCAATGTGAAAAAGGACACTTTTCCCGGGTGACTAGCGCGAGCTCGCGCAACCTTCGCGCGTCTCTTCGCGCACTATTCTGCCTCAGCCTTTAACGCGCGCGACTTCGCGCGTTCTTCGTGCGTTTTTCACCCTGTTCCGTTCCGCATTTGGAAAAACGTAAAACATGAAAGTTGTAGCCCTTTGAGTTAGCTTTCCAACCATATATTGTGGAGCCAAAATGGAGTTCTGAGCAAAAAGTTATATCTATTTTACTAGACAGTGCGCAATCTGCCTACTGAAGTCTTCGTTTGCTCTAACTATCATCCGTTGACCCCCCAACACGATCCCGGCTTAATTCCTTGAACTTTTACTCAGACTTCAAAGCTCCAAATCACTTGAATTCATTCCACAACATCTACATAGCTCGGAATCACTCCTACAAGGCATAAAATACACAGTTAGTCCAAAACACTAGCGATTAAAGCTCAAACTCAATTAAAGTGCAGTAAATTAGAGTGTAATAAGCGACTAAAATACACAATTATAGCCTATCATCAACACCCCACACTTAAACCATTGCTCGTCCTCGAGCAATCAAACTACAATTTATAAAGACACGACCTTTTTAAACAATTCTCCTAACTTATCACACCAAGAATATTTAAAATAGACTAAGCACAAGAGTGTAACATCTTCACCTCAAAATTTGACTCACAAGTACCACGCATTATTCACAACTCACCCACTTACTCTAACATAGAGGTCAATGACATTACCTTTCCTTCATGAATCAAGTGCCCTCACACAACCAACGAGAGTAGTCCCACACAATAAAATTTAAGAACACTTAGGAACTCAAGATAGAAAGAATTCACTCACTCTCAGAAATAACATTCATATGCCACAAAAGATGCACCATAGGCTTGCCCGTAGTGTACTACTCTACTAATCGAGCTCATTCAGTCTAGGATCAAGTAGGACTTTATTTGGTTGTAATGTAGGCTGAGGGACGGGTAGGATACATTTAGATATAAGAGTGACTACACCTCCCTAAGCACTTTAATACATATACTTTAACATTTAAAACTCCATACTTATGTCAAACCATAACTCCACCTTCACATCAATATATATTAACTCCCCACTTCTATAAGCACAATTACATCAAGAGTCACCACTATCAAATATTTTCACAGCAGTACAACTATCTTCTTTTTTTTTCTTTTCAATTCAAGTGGCTCTTACTTTTTTTTCAAAACAGTTGCTACCTTCTCCTTATTNTTTTTTCACATCAATACAACAAACTTTTTTTTTTCTTTTTTCAATTCAAGTGGCTCTACTTTTTTTTCAAAACAGTGCACCTTTCTCCTTATTTCATTAGTTCCACTCAAAAGCCAAACGAACCACCCCACACTTTAACTTTTACAAAGTTCATAACAATTCAAGTGCTCATGCGAGGTGAAAATGTTCAAATAGATGGTTAATTCAAACAAATGAGTAAGGCTTGTAATGTGATTGCCAAAGAAACAGGATTACAGGCTCAAAGGGATTAACTACGATACATAACAATTAGGCGGGTAAAATATCTATATGGCTCAACAAAGAAACGCCTATATCACTTCCAAGACTGAACAAAACTAGTATTTCGCTTTGCAAACACACGGGGCAAGTTCTAGAAATCGAATGCAATGCACAGAATAACACAAAACCTTACACACACATGGCACATAACTCACTCAGGATTGGACTCATCAAGACACTCTAGTCAAAGAAGTTAAGCAATGATAAGATCATACAATTTAAGGTACTTATACAAGAGTCAAAAATTGAGCCTAAGCTTCACAACTAAAGTACTCACTATTCTCAAGGCATGACAAAGTTAGAAGATATTGATTCAATTCAATTCACATCACCATGGCTTCTCTCCTAAAAAAAAAAAACTACCTACACCCGGTTCAAATAACCGCGGCACAAAGAAAAACCAAGGGGGAATTGCTACACTATCTACAAAGAAAATCTTTTTGTCCTTTCTCTTAGACTTACATCCCTCAAGAAAACTGTCTAGGAGATCCATCGTCGGGAAAAGTCTAATTTTTTGTTTTTGTTTTTCTAATAAAAATATTCAATTAAACTAACACAACTAAAATAGCATAGGAAGCCACTCAGACAATCTCCTCACCCCACACTTAAAATTGTGCAATGTCCTCAATGCACACTAAAAATAACAAGAGGGTAAAAGAAACTCCCTGGTAGGCCAAAGGCCGAAGAATTAGCAGCTCACGGGATACTCAGACTTCTCCCACGTATGATCCCTTGTGCGGGTACCTCACACAAAGTTTCAACCACCTGCTCACTTTTGCACCTTTCCTGTTAGCTATGATTCCATGCTCGTACTCCTACAAAACACAAAAATAATACTACAAAAGAAATAACACATTAAAAAAAACATAAACAAAAGAAAAAAATAAAAACTAAAATTGGGCTGCCTCCCTACAAGCGCCTTATTTAACGTCGCGGCACGACGCCATCACTTTCACCACTTTTCCCTCCACTTTGAGGATATGAATTGCGCCCCCAATTTTGCATCAATTTTTGTGTCACGTTCTTGGGGCGGTAGTGTGAAAATAAAGAAACCAAGTAATAGGTATCGCATCTTGCACTTCTTGGCCTTCAATTGAGGAATGTCGTTTTGTCTCCTTGGTGTGGCAAATTTTAGAATGTAAGGGTCTTGTTCTTCATCTATACGTCTCTCCAAAGGCTCGATCTCCATGTCTTCATCCAAACAAAATGTAGAAAAATGTGTAGAATGAGGACCAACACGCCCCAACTCCAAAACTGCATTATTTTTGACATCCTCAGTAATACATACTCCCTCAACCTTGGCATCATCAACAAAAATATGGTCTAGTGATTGGTATTCTCGTTTTAGCTCCTCAATTTGGCCTAGAAGATCTTTTTCAGCTTCACACAACTCATCACTAAATTGTTGGGCATTACACGCATCAACTTTTGCACTCAATTGAGCCTCTAAGTCGTGAATAGAACTTCCAAATTGATCGATCTCTTGTCCCAGTTCAGCTCTTCCTTCTATAAATTGTTGCATCTCTTTCATAATTTTTCACGGAAACCTTCATATTCCTATAATAATTTCCCGTGCATATCAAGAATGCGAACATCGTGTTCTACATCATCCAATTCGTTACTCCTGTCAAACTCATAAGAATTATTAGAATCAACATAAGACGGGATTGGAGTAGGATAACAACACTTAGGACAATTATTCCAATTTCCATCACAAATAGTACATGATGAGATGGTGCACACAACTCGGTACTTGGAATATTTTTACAATATTTCCACAAGTGGGGTCCTTTACAATAAGGACAAGGATCACAAAAATAAGAATACTTATTATCCCACCACTTTTCGTTCAAAGATGCCATGTAAAAAAATAAAAATATAACACTAACCACACTAGACTAAAATTAAAAACTTAAATAGTGTTGATTGACGAGACGCAAAGCGGAGTTAACGCGAGGTTGGAAGTTTGGAGACAGACCTTGGAGTCTAAAAGGTTTCAAACTGAGTAGAACCAAGACAGAATACATGGAGTGCAGATTCAGTGACGGGACCCATGAAGCAAACATTGGGACGATGATTCCCATAATAACCAATGTTTCTTGGTCTAGCTGTGACGCTTACCATCAGTGTTTTAAAAGGCGCTTTCGAGGCGAGGAACACCAAAAACGTCCCGAGGCGATAGTGTGGGGCAAAAGCCTCAAGAGACGTACGCCTGAGCGTTCGGGGCATACGCCTGGGCGTTTGAGGCGCGTTTTTGTAGTGAGGCGTAAGCCCCAACTTTTTCAAATTAAAAGAAAATCTGTTGAATAAGTCCTTCATATAATACCAAATTCTCAAAAGTCAGCTTGTAATTACTCAAAAGTTTTAAAAATGAACTGATTAAAACCCTAATTTTATGGAAGAAAAAGTTACTGTGTTTTTGTTTTCTTTCATAAAAACATTTTTCCTCCATATATACTAATGTAACAGTAAAGTGTAAAACAACATTGTAAGTTCGTTATTAGCCTCGTTGATCCCCCAAATTCGATATGCAATTCTGGATTCCTCAAAAGTTCTCCCAACTAAGTACTAATGTAAGTTGAGAATATCTGCTACTTACATTTAAGGCATAATATTTCATCTATTTTAATTAAAGTACTTGGAAGATCCAGGATTCCAGGCTAAAAGCACGTAAAGCACCAGCCATGAAGAAAATAAGACAAAATAAAGAGTTGGTTCGTTAGGACAATCAATAGCATTCAAAGACATCAATGTCTTTACAACCAACTTCATCTGCAAAAATGAAGGTATCATTCATGGTGCCATGAATGTCCGAAAGCATGGATCAGGAATCAGTATCTGAATCAGATTCTGTCTCGGACTCCTGTTGAAATGGATTTAATCTGTTAGTATTGGCTTCTAATGGAGGGAGTCCATCATCATCGCTTGAGTCTTCATTCTCATCTATCTGGGTATTATGTGATTGCGTATCCTGTTTTGAACTCTCTACTGCTGTAGATTTGAAGATCTCTGGCCTGCACAGAGAGTACTCAAATCATAAGAAAATTTCTGAATGGAAACAATTCAGTGGAGGGGATGTGATATCCAGTGGCAGCCTCCCATCAACCAATCAGACAGCATATGTAGAGGATTGGAGCAAGAGTTTTTTTAGCCAGAGGGGGTTTATCTTCTGGTTGGAGAGGTGTCGGGAGGCAGTATGATGAAACAGTTCCTATTAGGGGTGGCGTCCACAAATATTTAGCAGCTATTTTGCAAATATTACCTGGGGAGTATACGGACTCAAATATAAATGTCCAACTATGCGAAATGCCCAGTAGAACACACACTCAGCAGAGTAGTAACTGAGAGGCTTAATCTTGTAAGTTCATTAACATATATTGTAAATTGTAACAGAACATCCAAGAGACTAACTTGAAAAAGGTCAAAATCTACTACTAGGGTGGACGTAAAAGAAGAAAAATTCAAGATGGAGAAGACCTCTAAACAGCCCACAACAACAACAACAACAACAACCCGGTATAATCCCACTTAATGGGGTCTGGGAGGGTAGTGTGTACGCAGACCTTACCCCTACCCTGGGGTAGAGAGGTTGTTTCCAGATAGACCCTCGGCATCCTTCCCTCCAAGAACTTCCCACCTTGCTCTTGGGGAGACTCACACAGTAAGTGAAATGTCATGGAAGAAAGAAACAAGAATACTCCTTCAATCATAATAAGGAGATTATCTTCATGTTTCCAGACATCACAGATCAATCTTCAATCTCAGTAACCTAAGTAAATATATGAGCTACAAATTCACAAGCTAGAGGTACTATATCCATTTCCATGGAAATTTACATCGATAGGCTCATCGAGCAGAAAGACCATCTTTTCTTTTCCCAGTCAAGAACAGATTTATAAGGAATAATCTATTCCCTCTTTCATTAAACTAAAAAAGGGGCAAAAACATAGGTGCTTGAATTATAGAGTCTCACCATTCAGGTGACTTTTGAAGCACACGGACTTGTTCGTAATAGAGTACCTGCGTAACAACACATCCCACTTTTCTACCTGATTCAACAGCTTCCTCTCTTCCTCTCTCATCAACCACAACAAAATTGCCTATGCATTGAGTAAAAAAGATACAAAACGCAAAGGAAAACACTCACATTATTCTTTCAATGCCAAAAATAAAGCCATGAAATCAACAACCATAATAAATCCCCAAAAAATATTAGGATAGGAAATACCAAAGCAAACCTCTTTTAATCCACATGCTTTTCTGGAATTTAGCTGGAAATATTGCTATTGATGTTTCACCTTTCGCATCCATCACCTTCAAAATTATAAAAGAAAAACTAAAAATTCGTTATCAATCAATTCATACAAATACCAAAACTACTACGCAAAAAAAAGGGAAGAAATTAGTAGGATTTTTCATACTTGAATAAGGTTGGAACCTCGAAGATCCACAACCTGCATAATACTTTGGCCCTGTTGAAGAGTGAAAAATTCTTCTTCAACAGCCCTCTTCAAATTCTTCCTTCCCCCTCTCATTTCTTCGATTTTGATTTTTGAGGCCCTTCTTCGACCTGTTTTACTTGCCCAATTGAAACACGCTGCAAAACCCTAAGCCTAGGTCCGTTTGTTTATTTTACCGGGAAAATGCATCAAAAATGGCCCCTTAACGCTGACTCTCTTACTTTTAGTTCTTTAAGTTTGTAAAAAGTGAATATTTTTTTGTCATCCATCAATTTATTTAACGAACTCCCACTGTATTTAATAAAAACTGTGAAAAATATTAAGAATTTCTTGTCAAATTCCAAAATAATATTTTATGAGTTGCAAAGGCGTCTCAATAAAAGTCGTGGCCTAAAATCATACTTTAATAAGGAGCTTTAATTTTTTTTTTTTTTTTTTTGCTTATAGTATAGTTATCTTGCAAAATATAGTATTAATATTACATTAGTTTCTTTTTGTCTATAGAAGAATTATCTTATAAAATATAATATTAATATTCACATTGATAAGGAAACTCAAGTTAATAAGATGTTAGCCACTATTTATGGTTGCAGCCATACTCAAAGGAGAAAGGCTCATCAATAGATCTCAATAGATACAATAGGATTTATGGCTACACAAATTGTTAAAAACGGTTCTATATCTAGTCCAAGACGAACTGCAGCTGGAGAAATATTAAATTGAAAGGAAATTGTACCCAACTAGGGAAGGACGTAAAGTCGTACGCTATTGAAGGTAGATATAATCCTCCAAGTCTTATTGTGAAACACTAAAAATTGCATCAAGTACAAAAAATAGACCAAAGATAATAAAATTTACATCTATAAGAATTGCATCAAACATAAAAAAAAAAAAAAAAAAGAGACCAAATTAGTAAAAATGACACCTTCAAATGCGAGTTTTCTTTAAATTGAACAACTAAATACTTCAAAGTTTGTTAAATATTTAATAAAGACTAAAAGTTCTCACTTTTGAAAAATTTAAAGGACCTAAAGGGTCAAAAATATTTGAATAATTAACGTTTCTTCGTGGTAATATTGGAGTTGCGAAATTCAATTTCAAATTTTCAAGACTTCAAAAATCATCAAGTGTTCAATTTATTGCGAAATTCGGTGCATTCCCTCTATGGGTGTTTAACGGGTGGGCCGGGCCGGGCTGGGTAGAGAATCTTTGTACCCGTACGGGTTATGGTCCGGACCATTTAAGGGTTGGGGCTTACGGGTTTAATGGGTTCGGGTTCATCCGGGTAAAAATTTAACCGTAAGGGTTACGGGTTGAGGGGGCCGGGCCGGGTTTAGTGTATCTTTTTTTTTTTTTTGTATTTTGTATAACTATTGTAAGTTATATTAATACTTTGTATTAATATAAAGAATACAAGGAAGATGGGAAAAAATTGCACTTATAAATTGCAAGTGCTACATTTATTTCAAAATTCAAACTTACAAATTGAAAGGCTTACATTTAAAAACAAGTAAATTAACCAAAAAAGAGTAAATTCAAAGGTTTTGCATTGCCTTAGTAAGTTCTTCATAATCAATATGAACTGAGTGACCTTCTTCTGGAGTGGTAAATTTGGATGGGTTACCATGTGTTAATATATCTCCAAGTTCCTCGTCTTCTGGGCTATCAACATCTTCACGTCCTTGGTTTCTTCGTTCCGATCTAATCCAATATCTGAAACATACTAAAACTTCCAAAGCATTGCTTCCCAATGAGTGACGGGTGTCTCCAAGTTGTTGTCTTGCTTGGCTAAATGCACTCTCTGATGCAACAGTTGAAATTGGCACATTCAGCACGTCCCGAGCCATAGCGAAAAGAACAGGAAATTGCTTTTCATTCTCATGCCACCATCCCAACGGTGAAAATTCCTTTGTGCGAGGCTCTTTTTGCTTCTGCAAGTAGAATTGAAGTTCATCAATGTTCCTGCTACTGGTTTGAGTGTTAGAAAATGTAGAAAAAATATTAAAACTATCAAGGCCTTCTTCATCATCCACAGTAGCAGAAGTGGTACAATATATAGTGGGATTAACATTACCTACACTACGAGCATCATTATCAATTATATTTGCATAATAATTATATAATTATTGTAAATATTCATTTAGCTTGTTCATACTATTATATAAATCTGGGGTTTCAGTCGGTCCAATCTCCATATAAGTATATAAAGCATTCATTAATTGGTGACAATCAGACATCTTAATAGAAGGATTTAAAACAGCACCAATTAAGTAAATAGGAGGAATTGGAAAGAAATATTTTTTGAATTTTGCTTGCATTTTTTCAACAACATCCCTATATTTTTCTTTCTTCTTAAATTCAAAGAGTAGAAAAGAAATTTTAGCTATATGTACTAAAGCCATAGTAACAGTAGGGTAATATGCTCCAGAAAACTCAACAGTAGCTGTATAAAATTTATGTAAAAATTTAACATCATTAATGACCTCCCAAGTAGTAGTAGTTGTTAACAGTAGTTGTATCCAATGACATGTAATTGTCAAATAATCATTTCCATTAACAGCATGGCCAATATCAGAAGTTAGAGAAACTCTACAAGGAAGGTTGCTAAACAAATAACGTATGTATGTTTGATATCGTCCATGAAGTCTAAAGATATCAGATCTACAAGTACTTCTAGGGATACCTTTAAATAAAGGATTGTACATCCTTTGAATATACATAATAAGATATGATGAAGAAGCAAAAGAAAAAGGTAGACAACCCAAAGCAATCATTTTTGCTAACTCCTCACGATCCTTCATTTTATCATATTTCACAAGAACTCCAGTAGTAGGGTTTAGAGTTGATTGATTTCCATCTCCATCAGATCCCCATTCTATAGGATGCTCAATTCTCATATGTCTACTAAGTGTCTCAGTCCCCCCTAATTGTCCTCCAGTCTTATGTTTAAAAGTATCATTACAAAGTTTGCATTTAACTCTATCAGTACCTTCTATTTCCTCAAAAAAATTCCAAACCTTACTTCTTTTTCTACGATTACTAGTCGGGCCACGGGTGGTCTACTACTAGCACCACGACCACCACCCCTGCTAGCAGCTCCAACACTACTAGGTGTAAGTGGTATCTCATCTTCCATTTCTAATTCATTATCATCTATACCAAAATCTTCCTGCAATTGTTCATAATCTATATTATTATCAGGTAATGTTTCAGGAATATTTGGAGAGGTATTTAAATTATTACCAGATGCTGAAGCTGAAGTACCACCTCTTTTTTTATTTTCCCGATTAGTAACCTTGTTACAAACTCTTTTTGCAGCATTAAACATATTGTAAAAATTTAACTACTAGCAACAAATAAATATGCAAATAAAATAGTAAATAAGAGAAAGAGTTGGAGGGAGTGCACCGAATTCGGCAATAAATTGAGCACTTGATGATTTCGCAACTCCAATATTACCACGAAGAAACGTCAATTGTTCAAACTTCAAATAATAAATACTACGATAAATTAAATTCCGAAAAAAAAAGAGCCAAATAGTTGATTGCACTTTAATAGGTGAGGAATGAAGATTGAAGAATGAGAGAATATGAGAATTGAGATTGAGAATTGAGAGACGAGTGAAGAAATGAGGAAGGGGGGGGGGGAAGGTATTTATAGTTTTTCAAAAGGGGGTTAGTTTTAAAAAAAAACCCCAAAATTGGGCTAATTGTGCAATTCAGCCGTTGGGCAACGACCATTTTCTGAAATGGACCATTGCCAACGGTCAGATCTGGGCCCAGTTTAAGAAAAAAAATTAATTTTTTTTTTACCGTTAAACCGGTCTGGGCCGGTTAACCAGTTTAACAACACTGTTCATCCACCGGGTTATACCGGTCCGAGTAACCGGTATTTCAAATGTAAACGGTGCAACCCGCCCGTCGCCCTTAACCCAGCCCAACCCAGCCCCCTTCTACCGGTCCGGGCCGGTTCCGATTTTAACCGGTCTGGGCCGGTCCGGAACCGAGCTGACCCGGCCCGTTTAACACCCTTAATTCCCTCCAACTCTTTCTCTTATTTACTATTTTATTTGCATATTTAATTTTTATTAGTAATTAAATTTTCACAATATGTTTAATGCTGCAAAAAGAGTTTGTAATAAGGTTACTAATCAGGGAAATAGAAAAATATGTACTACTTTAACTTCTATTAGTAATTTAAATGACTTTACACATGTTTCTGAAATATCACCTGATAATAATATAGATTATGAACAATTACAGAAAGATTTCGGTATAGACGATAATGGATTAGAAATTGAAGATAAGACACCACTTACACCTAGTAGTGTTGGAGTTAGTAGCAGGGGTGGTGGTCGTGGTGCTAGTAGTAGACCACCTGTGGCCCCGACTAGTAATCAGAGAAGGAGAAGTAAAGTTTGGAAATATTTTGAGGAAATAGAGAATTTTGATAGAGTTAGATGCAAAATTTGTAAAGATGATTTTAAACATAAGACTGGAGTAAGTTTAGGGGGACTAGAACACTTAGTAGATATATGAGAATTACTCATCCTATAGAATGGGGCTCTGATTTAGATGAAAATCAAGTAACTCTAAACCCTAGTACTGGAGGACTTATGAAATATGATAAAATGAAGGATCCCGAGGAGTAGGCAAAAATAATTGCTTTGGGTTGTCTACCTTTTTCTTTTGCTTCTTCATCATATCTTATTATGTATATTCAAAAGATTTATAATCCTTTATTTAAAGGTATCCCTAGAAGTACTTGTAGATCTGATATCTTTAGAATTCATGGACAATATCAGACATACATACGTTATTTGTTTGCCCACCTTCCTTGTAGAGTTTCTCTAACTTCTGATATTGGCCATGCTGTTAATGAAAATGATTATTTGACAATTACATGTCATTGGATAGATAATAATTATTGTATGCAAAAACGTATTATCGCTTTTAAATATGATGAGGATCAAAGTCATACTGCTATTTTTATAAGTACTACTATTTGTAAAGTTGTTGAATTTTATAATCTTAATAAAAAAAGTATTGTGTATGTCTTTTGATAATGCTTCTAACAATAATGCCGCTATTTTAATATTAAGACTGCATTTGAAACCACCACTTGACGAATTTTTTCATGTTAGGTGTGCATGTCATGTTTATAATTTAATTGTTAAAAGTGGCCTTGATTTATTTTCGACTGAGATTACTCATGTTAGAAGAGCATTTGG